ACCTTTCTGAATCTGGGCAGGATTCAATAGTACAACCATGTGCAACCATGTGGGGTTCTTATGTATGAGGAAAATAATGTCCTAACTATCCCTGTACTGTTTGCTATGAAATTTCTTCCAAATAGAAATGTTTACACTCTTGCTCTTAGCCTCCTCTTCTATAATGTATCATTTTCAGTAAACATTTGATCAACTTACCCCCACAGCAATCAGCTTCCTACTGTTAGCTCAGTGCCTTTCTACTCTTTCTGTTTTGCAAGTACACTGTTTCACTCTTTCTTGAGACTTCTTGCTTGTATTTCCCCACTTGTTCTTTACCATAACTTGTGGCAAACGGAAACAGGCTCCATAATAATACAGATTTAAAGCAAGGTCACAAGGCTTATTCTAGATATGGTCAGTAACTGTTAACCTTCTACCTTAACACTTCCCACTGCAAGAGTCCTCCTTACTGCAGCAGCTATGGAATTATCCCCTTCTTGAGCCAGGGTCATTCCAACCCCTGCTAGTCAGAAATACAAAAACAAAGTACACGGCTGGGGGAGGAGGGGTGAGGAAGACAGTTAAGGAGGGGACTGTAATACAAAACTAGTAGTGAAGAGTGCCTTCTCCTGGACACATGCACTCCATACTAGAAACATAGTTTTGGTTCATAATAGGACAGAACTTGGCAACTAAGACTAGGATAAGATCTAGTGTAGTATGTGTGTGATGTCAAAATAATACACCTAGAATAGACTAGATGTTGGCCAATCATCCTGAGCTCTACCTACACAGTTAAATATGAAAATGTAATTTTAATAATAGCCAAATTAAATTAACCCATGAAAATAACAAGTCTAAAGCAGAGTCCCTATCCTAGGATATTATCATCAGGTTGAGAGCATAAAATTAAAGCAACTGACAATTTTGGAGAATGGAAAGGGACTGGAACTAGAAATGGTCATACAAATGACAGATTAAAGCAGCTGAATTAACTAACATTTAAATTTAACACTGAAGCTGGGCATGGTGGCATTTGGGGAATTGAGGCTAAGGAAGGAGGACTGTAAGTCTGAGGCCACTCTGATTTGCAGTATCAGAGCCTGTCTCAAAACAAAAGCAACCAAGAAGCCCCACAAAATAAAAACACCAAAAAAAGGCTCAAATGACAACTCTTGTATTTATTTTACCACAATAGAAAACCAAACAAAACAAAATACAAGGAAAAAACCAATCAATGTGTAAAAACACTAGATGTTGGCCAACCATCTTGAAATGAATACTGCTCTTGTCCATCTGTCCTGAGGACAGAGTCTATATAAACAAAGGGAACACCCAGAGAGGGTTCTAAACTCTAACTGACACTTTGCTATTACGATGAATTATTTAACCTACTCTGAAACGTGGCTGCACAGCTTCTCTTAGGGGACAGCTCCCAGGACGCACTTATGTCTTTATCATTAACAAATCCTTGACTATTCTCACTGACTATTCAGAGCCAAATGTGCTCTCAATGATAACTTATTTGCTATGTTCAAATTCTGTAAAATAACAAACCTCTGTTAGATAAGAACATACAATTTAATTAGTGTATTTGAAAGGTTCTGTAGATTTAACTGCATTGCATTCAGTTCAGATAAAGAAGACTGTCCTCTCTAACAGAAACATGCAAGAGCACTGGCAATCTTACAGTTCTTCACTGCCACATCAGAAAGAAGAATAAAGCACGTAAAATTAAAATGTTAATATATTTAATTTAATTCAAGGCATCCAACTCTATCATTTCAATATGTAATCCAGCAGAAACTGAGATTTATTTACTTTTCATACCAAGTATCTGAAACTCAGTACATGTTTTTATACTTAGAGCACATTTCAGTTGAGACAAGGCCACCAAGGTTTCCCACTGAGGCTGTGCATGAGAACCTGTGCGGTTTACGTTCTGATGCTAGAGCACGACACAGCACACAGACCACAGCCCCTCAAGCACACTGGTGGTCCTCTGACACTCTCCACAGCTAACTGTACCATCCCCCTTTTGTCTTCTCACCCACAAGCCTAACCTTCCCTGTCAGTGTTCTCTGGTTCTGCAGGGAGCTGTTTACCTTGTCCACTGTGCACTCTGCCAGCACCTCTGACATCCTATCACATACTATGGATTACAATTCGTTTATTTATGAAGTTGCCTCCCCACAAAAATCAAGGGTAATCCAGCACCCTTATAATTTAGACTAATCCTAGAGTAAATATCAGTGACAAAGAAGGAGTTATCTGCTAATCCCTAAAAACTCATATGCTCATCTGAGCTCTGCCTGTGTTATCCATATAATGCAGTCCTTCTTAGAAATCAACCTGCTCTCTGACAGGAAGCCACTATACGAAGAGCAGCACCACACGCTGCTGAGTACAACAGAGATGAAAGCAAGAATCAAGCTTCACTTGTTTTTCTTTTAAGGTCTGCTTGTTTCATGTAAGTAAGTGCCTGGTGCTCTCACCGGCCAGAGGAGGGCATCCAGTCCTGTGAGACTGGAGTTATAAATAGTAGTGAGCATCATGTGGGAGCTGGGAATTATACTCAGGTCCTCTGGGAGAGTAGCCAGTGATCTTAACTACTGAGCCATCTCATCAGCCCCAGACTTTAAATTTCTTAATAGCCAACTTTGCTATCTACTAATGTGATCTATAAGCCTTTATAACATATACATATATATGTTTAGATGTGTTAACAACCTAAATTAATGCTCACATACAAAAAAACTCATTTTAACCATTATATTATTAAAAGTCAGCATAAATAGCCAATCTTATCCCTTCCTCATAACATAACAAAGCCAGTTCATAATTTATAGATGAGGAAACAGATAGCAGAGTTTAGTTATCAATACCTAGAGGTACTGTATTTACATTGTAAATCCTTGTACTTGTCTCTTACACTAATTACAGTTTATCTTCAATGCATGTCATATGAACTCTTAAGAGCTGACTTCAGTTCTAAGGAATCAGATGTACATGTACACACACATATACACATATGCACACACATGCACATATGCATACACACATTAATGACAGCTGTGTCCGATGCTGGCAGCCTATGCAGTACCAGGTACAGGAGAGGCTGAGGCAAGATTATCACCTGAGCCCAGGAACCTGGTGTTATGCACAGTTCAGGTGACATGATAAGATACTGACCCAATTTAGAAAAAACAGTAACAACAACGCACAGAATGGTAGAAAATTTGTTTTAGGCATCTTAAAAATAAAAGCAAATATAGGAATTATAAGCTAATTCTGATGTTTTCTTACATTTTAACTTATTTCAGAATAAAAAAGGAATAGAAACAAAATCTTAGAAGTCATCTTATTTTTTGCTGTTTTTAACTTTAAAAAATTACTCAGATTTGTATTAAACATTGGTAAAACAAAATAATTATCCTAGAAATTTGATGATATATAAATATACAATTATTTCACATATTACTAACTAGAAAAAAATGAAAACTTGAAATCTCCAAAAAATATATTTTATCTGTACTCAAAATATAAAGAACTCTTACAACTCAATAAAGACAGCCCAATTTTAAAAAATAGACAAAGTATCTACAGACATGCATCAACAGTCAGTGAGCATGCATTCTTAGCTATTAGGAAGACACAAAGTAAAACCAAATTAGATTAGGAGATGGAAAAAAAAATATGGGGAAACGGGGACCTTCATATCCTACTGTCTAGAAGTAGAAACGATGCAACCTTTAAATGACAGCAGAACAGAGTAGTTCTCAATGTGTGGGTTGATCAGATATTTATATTACAACTCATAACAGTAGCAAATTTACAGCTACCAAGTAGCAACAAAAATCATTTTATGGTCGGGGTCAGCACAGCACGAGGAGCTGTACTAAAGGACCACAGCACGAGGAGGCTGAGAAGCGCTGCGTTAGCAGCTGCTCAGAAGTAGAGTGGTCATCGCACTGTGTGCTAACACCGACGCTCCATGTGACAGGGCCTACAATCACCTGGAGATGTGACTCCGGTTTGGTGAAATGGGGAGTTCCCGCCTGTGAACTAGGATCCTGAACTGAATGACAAGAAGAAAGGGGGCTAAGCAGAGCGCTCACTGCTCTCTGCTTGCTGGCTGTGGATGCTCCTGCATCCACATACCGCTTGCACACCGCACCCTCAAACGCTGAGCCGAAAGAAACCCTTCCGAAGCTGCTTCTGTCCGACTTCTGTCACAGCTACAGGAAAGTAACCAATAGGTCATGTATTTGGCAATTCTGTCCCCCGGGATTACACCAAGGAAAATGAACTCATATGCGGACCAAAAACCTGTACATCAATGTTCTCACTCACATTATGGGGGCAGGAGTAGAAAGAGCCCAAATATTGATCAATGCTAAGAGAATGAAAACATGTGAAATACAAATACAGTATTAGTATTTGTATTAGTCGCAAGAAATGACACATAATATAAAGTGCCAGGGTGAACAATTCACAAACAAGGAGGGCTTTCATGACTGCCTCAGCTCAGGGTCCGCTGACGACAGGAATGACTGCTAGAAGATCTGCTAGAAGATGAGGGTTTCCTCACCGAGGGATGAAAACCAACCATGGGGCACACACTGCAAATATCCTGGAGTCTGAAACTGTGCACTCCATTCAGGTACTCAGGAGTTCCGAGAGGGAACAAAAATCTTGTAAGTTCAGCCTGAACTCTCCTGCTCAATCCTTTTCATTTTAAATACACAAAAGAATGGACAGTTATCCGTGCCTCATAAATTACTTTTATTCAGAGGCCAGTCTGGTTTACAGAGCAAGTTCCACAACAGTGAGAACTACACAGAGAAACCCTGTCTTGAAAAAAAAAAAAACAAACAAATTTACACTTATTCACACAGGACACTGCAGTGTCTAGTTACAGATCCACCACAGATTAGCAAACCACTTCATATTTAAAATGAAAATTACAGAATAAATGACTACTGAAATTTAAGTGGGCTTGTAAATGTTACACCTACCCTCACAGGTGAGGATGACTCCTCTGTGCTCCGTTTCTGGGACTCAGTGTCCACATCCTGACGCTTATTCTTCATTCTTTCTCTGAGGTCACCTGTAGGTCTTTCCGGTGACCTTTGATACAAACAACAAAATTCTGTATTTATATGATGTTTTATAAGAATTATGCAATTTTAAGTCTCTGGTGCCCAAATTTCTGAAAAATGTTTCAGCTTAAATAGTAAGATGTAAAACTATGAACAATATTCAGAAGTTTTCTCCCAGTGCCAGTCAAAATGCAGGTTAGCTTCCATGGGGTGGTAAGTACTGGGAATATGAGTAAGAAACAACGAACTGAAGAAAATGAATATGCAAAAGGCAGCTTGAGTTACTCCCTGCTCACCACATAAACAAAGCAGTCATGTTGTAGATAAAGGATAGTAAGAGGTAAAGCATTCCCATTCATTCATTCATATATGTGTGTGTGTGTGTGTGTGTGTGTGTAGTTGGATATACTACCTACTAGGAAAATATTTCATGTGCCTTAAAATAAAAGCCAGCAGCCATCAAGATGGCTCAGTGGGTACAAGTGATTGTCACTCAGGCTTGAAAGAGAGAACACTCCCAAAAGCTGTCCTCTGACCTTCACATTCAAAGGTGTTATACTCACATGAACACACACACACACACACACACACACACACACACACACACTTAAAAAAAATCTCCAGTAGCTAATTTTCAGTTGTCCTACTAATGCTGTAGGCTTAGCAATCGGCACATATAATTTCAGGACTAGGTAAACTCTGTTTACTGATTAAATTATTTCTTTAAAAAACGTTGTATCTGTTACCTTTTAAAATATTACAAAATTGTAAGGGGACAAAAGAAATAGTAAAAAGATATTCATTATGCAAATTCAGTTTAGTCAAATATGTTCTGCATAGAAAATGTTTATCTACATATAAACACTCTTAAAATTATTTCTTTGTCTGCTTTATGTGTACACGTGTGGTGTCTGCATGTATCACTATGCATCATGTGCATTCTGGGTGCCTGAGGCCAGAAAGGATATTGGATCCCCTGGGACTGGAGCCACAGTTGGTTGTGAGTCATTATGCAGATGGATAATGGGAAATAACCCAGGTCTTCTAGAAGAGCAGTCAGGCCCTTAACCACCGACCTATCCCTCCAGCCCCTAAACACATGTATATTAACACAGTGCCCTCAGAGGTGTGGCAAGTAGATTTCACAACAAAGCTTGTAGAAGACTCAAGTTTAAAAGGCCTTGAGAAAATTACAATTAAACCTTATTTAAACTTTACTGCATTAGGAAGAAATAGTTTTAACTTGAAGAAAAGTAAATTCTCACACCTCCAAGTTCTGCTTAAAAACAGATTTAATACAAAATTGGGGCAGTAGGAGATAGGGGTTTTTTTAGGAGCTGTTCATCGCCAGCCTCAGTCTCCTCATAGGGGTGCACTGATTTGAAAGGCATGCAAATATATACACTTTAAAGCTAATGCTTTATTAATCTTAAAAGATCTTGTCAATCCAACTGTTAAGACTACCCCAAGACAGAAAATCTGACTAAATATATGGTTCAATTTCAGATTTTTAAACTAAATTGCAAAATTTGCTTGTTAATACTATAGAAAATGTGTGAATTCTCAGTTTACCTTCTGTAATTGCTGCTGTAACCTTTCCCACGAGGTGAAGGGCCATGTATGAACCTACAAGTATTTCCATAGAGGCAGCTGCCAGTCTTCAGCCAGTTCCGGCACTGTGTCTAGGAAACAGGTATGACTATGTGAGTATCTGAAGGAAACATCAAATCACAGTGATCCAAATGCCAGCTATGCACGTGCCACTCAATACATAAAGGAATGATAAACCACAAGAAGGTGGGGGGGGGGG